TTTAAAACTCCAGACAGCAGCGGGGGCCCAGCAAAGGGGTGCTAAGAGGAATCAATGACATTACAAACAGGCCACAGCACCCGCTGAGCTGTTTGCTGCCGTAGTTGAGAACCCCCTTGGCAGTGGAGGGGGCCCCTCTCTGCTCTACAAAATACATTGTGTGTCTTGATTGCGGCAAAAGAAAAGAGACTCAGACCTCGTCAAACTAACTTTACTAGATAAGGAGCTTTCTTTCAGTCTTTCTTTCAGTCTTTCTTTCAATCTTTCTTTCAGTCTTTCTTTCAGTCTTTCTTTCAATCTTTCTTTCAATCTTTCTTTCAGTCTTTCTTTCAATCTTTCTTTCAATCTTTCTTTCAGTCTTTCTTTCAGTCTTTCTTTCAATCTTTCTTTCAATCTTTCTTTTTTCCTGGACTTGTAGTTCCCGTAAGTCCTCAAACTTGTTGAACAATAGATTTATATATATTGTTGTTTCATAGGCTATATCTTAAAAAAAAAGATCACGAATGATAATATGATTTATTAACTAAGGTATGTTATAAAGTAATATTACGTGAATCATTATTGGTTGAAGTAGGTAAGGTAACTTTACTACAGTCTGATGTGACTGTTAAAGTGTCATCAAGGTAACTTTACTACAGTCTGATGTGACTGTTAAAGTGTCATCAAGGTAACTTTACTACAGTCTGATTGTGACTGTTAAAGTGTCATCAAGGTAACTTTACTACAGTCTGATTGTGACTGTTAAAGTGTCATCAAGGTAACTTTACTACAGTCTGTTGACTGTTAAAGTGTCATCAAGGTAACTTTACTCAGTCTGTGTGACTGTTAAAGTGTCATCAAGGTAACTTTACTACAGTCTGTTGTACTGTTAAAGTGTCATCAAGTAACTTTACTACAGTTCAGTCTGTTGTTTCCATGTTAAAATCATTTTAGGTTGCTGTTCTTGCTGTCTGATGTTGCCTGTCTGTAGTCAAAGTTCAAATGAAAATCACTCCACACAATTCGTATGTTCTTGAGTATTTCTTGATCTAAGGTAAACCTGTTACTGACCTTAATCTACATTTCAAAAATCTAAAAACACATGTATGTTTGGTACATACTCCTGCCATTACTCCTGACCAAGGCATCATGAGACACCAAATGAATATTAAATTAAGAGCATATTTATTGTATCCTATCATATTCTATGATGTGTTGTAATAGTAATCTTCTTGGTTGTGAAAACCTGTAATTGTTTTTGTTACTTCCCCTAACAGATCACATTGGAAGCTGCCAAGGTTCCCATAGTGATAAGGTCCACATCTTGTTCCTGTGCTGCAGGGAGAGCCCTTTGGAACCACTTGGTGGGGCTTCTTTATCTAAGTGCCCGTTTCAGCACCTCGAACTACAAGATTGTGCCATTACATGTGTCTTGCACTGACAGACTGCAGACCTGGCACAGGCCTCGGACCCAGGTCAGGAATCAACACGAGGTTATGATTATAAGGAAGAGCAAGTTGGCAGTTCTATTAAAAACACACAAAATATAAGCGATGAATCCTCATATAATCTTGTGTGGTAGGGCCCCTTCCTGACCCGGGTGTGATGTCTGTTGGAGAGAAATTGAAAGACATTCAGCCACAGCTGGGGATCTGTAAGATTCTTCATGGACTTGAGGAACTCACCATGGTGGAGTCCAAATTTGGTCTTGTGCCCTTTGGATCAGTTCTATCATACCAGTGCCCCCTAGAGAGCGTGCCCTGGTGGGGAAAGTGGACGCGGGAAGATCAAGCACAAGTGGGAGAACCTCAAACAAAAATACAAGGTAGGCATAAGTAAGCTGCTGCCTTCCAAAGGTGTGAGATCACCTGCAATGACTTTAATGTAGCCTTTACACAAGTGTGTGTGTCTTGTGTGTGTGTGGTGTGTGTGTGTGTCCCAAAACGGGAGTGAACACGGAGGGAGGAGAGGCCACCGCTGCATCCTGGAAATGGTATGCCCTGATGGACGAGGCACTGGGTCGGAGGCCTTCAATAACACGTCCGGTCACCATTGACTCTTCAGGATGTAGTGGTGGTCTCTCCTCCCTCCCCTGTACAGAAACGACTAAAACACAGACACTTCTAAGTGAAATCCAAATAGGCAAAATGTGAAACAGGCACTTTTATTAACAGAAAATGCAATGTGAGCATGCTCATGAAAAATTATATTTGTGAACAAACAAAACCTAAATCTCCATAAATAAAAGTAGTGGAAATGAAAATATATATGTTAGTAGTTATGGTCCTGCAGTGCTTGGATGACCCCAATAGGTGCAAAAACTTCTGCTGCCAGCCTGTTCCTCATGTTGTCTCCTGGCATCATCAGGGTGGTCCCAGTGGTCATCACCCTGGTCATGGAAGGCCCCCCTCCACCTCTGGCTCCACCAAATCCCCATTGTTGATGGAGAGGTTGTGGAGGAAGACACAGGTCGACACCACTGCAGGAACAAAGGTTGGCTTGATCTACAGGAAAAAATACAAGTTTAATGTAGCTGTATAATGAAAGTAAACATGATTGAATAGCTCGCATTACGCTGCTCTTTTGTTTTCATTATTGTCTCAGAATGTCCATACCTGTATTACTTTGCTGCTTATATTTAATAGCCACTGCTCAGCACTTATTCAACTAGTGTGTACTTAGAATGGCTGCCATGACGTGAGTGGGTGCTACAAGCTGCAGTCTGCTGGCTCAATTATTTGTCTATTGAGGTCGCTGAGATTTATATTTCCACTCTAAACTTTGCTGATACTAATGAACTGCTTGTGGTGAATCAAAAACGTAAACTATAGCAGCCTTCAGCATCAAACCAACGAGTTATTGGACCACATCCTTCTTATATTGAGGGAAAAAGTTTGCTGGCCTCACAATGGGTGATGCGCAAATGACTCTCCAAAGTGTCTTGGATATGATGCAGCACATGAAGCTTGACATGATTTCACACATGGACACTAAAATGGATCAACTTGGAGCTAGTCTGACCAAAATAGATGGCTCTCTTAGTGTGCCTGGAGAGCAGGTCAACTGGAGCAGGTCAACTGGAGAGCAGGTCAACTGGAGAGCAGGTCAACTGGAGAGCAGGTCAACTGGAGAGCAGGTCAACTGGAGAGCAGGTCAACGAGCTTGAGCACAGAGTTAGCTCGAACGAGGATGACATCACAGACCTGGCCAGACGTGTAAAAGTGCTCGAAAAAGAAAACACTGACCTGAAAGCATGGGTTGAAGACGCTGAGAACCGAAGCAGACGCTCCAACCTCCGCTTCATCGGCATCCCGAGAGGGCCGAGGGTAATAACATCCTTGGCTTTATGAGTCGTCTGATCCCGCAGCTTCTAGGTGAAGCGGATTTCTCCTCCGGTGATCGAGCGCTGTCATCGTACTGCTGTCAAGGATAACTCCAGAGCCAAGGGTCCCAGGCCGATCTTGGTAAAGCTCCACTACTTCCAGGACAAGATGAAGATAATGAAACTCTCCAGGGAGAAGAAGGAGCCCCTCAGTACAAAGGAGCTCGAGTTTATATCTACCCGGACTTCTCCGCTGGTCTGATCCAGAGACGCCGGGGTTTTGATGCGCTTAAGAAAAAGCTCCGTGACAGAGACATCAAATACGCCTTGATCTTTCCCTGCACGTTGAGAGTTGTCCGTGCTGGTAAGACACTTTTTCTTCGCACACCTGATGAAGCTGAGACATTTTTTGGTGAACTTTCCTCCATTGATTCCTCCATTGACTCTGACATGACAGCTTAACGCTAGTGGCTAGTGCTAACGTTAGCACAGAACTCTGAAAAGAGGCTGATGAACTTTTTTGTTTATTTTCCCTTTCCATTTTTATTTCACCGTCAGGTGAACTCTTTTGTCTATTTCCCTTCTTGTAATTATTTTACCATTGGACCGGCAAGTTTTTTTGTTTGTTTGTGTTTTCTGTTTTGATTTACAAAGTGGGCGTTGGGCTGCTGTGATGGATGCTGCCTTACTAGTGTTTGCCGTAAAATGTGTCGCAAATGCCGTAAAACTGTGTAACACTAAAAGAGTTCGGCTATTTTAAGTTGATGGGAAGGGATAGACCCTTACAATAATTTATTACAATCAGTGAAAACTCTGAATGATGAAGTAAATTAATTATGAAGCATCTGAGGTTTCTATTATTTTATTATTTTCTAGTATGTCATCAGATGACTTCATAAAGGCCTACTATATCATTTAGTATGAATACACTTACCTCTTACCTGTGTGTGTGTGTGTGTGTGTGTGTGTGTGTGTGTGTGTGTGTGTGTGTGCATTTTTGCTGCCACCTTACTTGCATATTTATTTTCACATCATCTCGGAATAATGAACTCTATTAAAGGTATGCATGTTATTCACTTGAACATTAGGAGTTTGTCACCTAAAATTGACTTATTGAGAGCCTGGCTCACCTATAATAAACCTCATGTAATTACTCTTTCTGAAACCTGGTTAAACAGCAATATTTCTGATGATGAAGTCACAATTGATAACTATGTCCTTATAGAAAAGACAGGGGCTCAAGAGGAGGGGGTCTTTTGACATATGTATCCTCAAATTTGACTGCAGAACTTATTTTACCAACTGAGAATCCCTCGCGTTTTGAATGCCTTTTTGTTAAAATTATTTTACATGAGAACAAACGACTTATCATAGGAAATATCTATAAACCTCCCAATGCTCCTGCTGAAACAACTGAATGTATCCTATCAACCATTAATTCTTTAGACTGCACTAGTGAAAAAATCATATTAGGTGATTTCAACTCCAATTGGGCAGATCGCTCATCCCGTAATGATCGCAATCTCTTCAACAGCATAAATTTAACCCAACTTATAAGTGAACCTGCCAGAGTTGGTCCCAGTTCGTCTTCTCTACTTGATTGGATCCTAGTTTCCCATCCCGACAGAATCATACAATCTGGGGTATTACCTGACTCTTTCAGTGACCATTCTATTGTTTTTTGTGTTTGGAAAATCAAAGTGCCTCATCTTCCTCCTAAATTCATCCAAGTAAGGAAAACTAATAATATTAACTCTGAACTTTATATTCAAGATATCTTAAACATCAACTGGGAAAGATTTCAACTAATACCATTCGTTGAAGATGCCTGGAATTACTTTTATACTGAGCTTGTTGAGATAATTAATAAACATGCTCCCTGGACAACAATTAAAGTCAAGGGTCGACATTTACCTTGGATAAAAGGAGATCTTATACACTTATTCAAACAAAGAGACAAGGCTTGGAAAAAATACCGTGTAACAAATCATTCTTCTGACTGGAATGCTTATAAAGAGCTGAGGAATAAATGTAAAACCAATACTAGAAATGCTAAGGCAAATTATTACAAAGACTGTCTGTCAACTGATTTTAAGAACCCAAAGCAATTTTGGAAGAGAATCAATAGTATAACCAATAAACCCACAAAAAATCCTACTACTCGTATCAGAATAAACAATGAAACTGTCAGTGAACCATCATTAATTGCAGAGGCATTTAGCCAACACTTCTCTACAATTGGTAGCTCCCTGTCTGGTTATTCTCACTCTGACTTTACCCCGACTCAGAACAGATGTGGCAGTTCCTTTTCCTTCAGAACTATCACACCAACTGATGTCCAACAGGTCACTGATGGTCTAAGCTCTGGATGCAGTGCTGGTCCAGATGGTCTGGAGATTAAGTTCTTTAAACTTGCCTCTCATATTTTATCATTTCCTCTGGCTGATTTATTTAATTCATCTCTTGCAACTGGTAAAACTCCCTCTTCCTGGAAATGTGCCAGAGTAACCCCCCTCCATAAAGGGGGTGACCCCACGGACATCAATAATTATAGACATATCTCAATTATTAATAGCATTGCAAAAATATTTGGAAAAACTCATCTTTAATCAATTATCTAAATATCTTAATGATCACAACTTATTATCAACACACCAATCTGGTTTTAGACCAAACCACTCGACCGCCACTGCTCTCCTAAAATTCACCAATGACATACAGTCAGCATCTGACAGCAATATGTCTACAGGTGCTATATTTATTGACCTTGCTAAGCATTTGACATGGTTGATCACTATCTTCTTTTAGATAAACTACATGCTATTGGTTTCTCTACTGACTCTTTGTTGTTTTCAACTCTTTTCTTCATTATAGAAGTCAATGTGGTTTTTTTCAGGGCAGCCAGTCAGACTTCAAGATTATTGATAAAGGTGTGCCACAAGGTTCATCTTTAGGTCCTCTATTATTCTCCATCTTCATCAATGACCTCTCACCAGTCTGTTCTGACTGTCAAATTCATTTATATGCAGATGACACTGTAATATACTCCTCCAGTTCGGACATTTCACAAATTCAATACTCAATACAATCTGATTTTAATCTAGTCCAAAAATGGTTCTCTGTCAATAAACTTCTTCTGAATAAGAAAAAATCATATTTTATGTTGTTCTGCACTCGACCAGATTCTTTGCCCTTAACAAAAAACTGGCATATTAATTTCCTGGATGGAACAGCATTAGAAAAAGAATGAATTTAAATATTTGGGCCTTTGGCTAGATTCCCAGTTAACTTTCAAACCTTATATCAACTCAATTTCTAAGAAAATACATGGTCGTCTAAAATCACTTTATCGTTCTGTTGAATGTTTTTCACTGCAAGTCCGGAGAAGAATCGTGACACAATTGGTGCTGCCAATCCTTGATTATGCTGATGTTATCTATGGAAACACCTCAGAGACAAATCTTCAACCTCTCACTATCTTATTCAACAGTCTCTGTAGATTTGTTCTGAGGTGTCCATATAGGACCCATCACTGCCTAATGTATGAGTCCTTGAATTGGCTGGCTCCCAAGTCCAGAAGGACATTTCATTCATTACTTTTAAATGTATCTATTTTAATTTTCCTCCGTACTTGAAACAATTTCTAATCCCTTTCAGTTCACAGTATAGCCTAAGGCATACTGATCATCTATTTTTCCTCACACCAAGAATCAGGAAAGAAATTGGTCGCCGTGCATTTAAATTTAACGCTCCATCAGACTGGAATAACCTACCTCGCTCACTTAGATCTATCACCTCTTTTCATATCTTTAAATCATCTCTACATACTCATTGTCAAACATCCTGCTCTTGCTTTTGATTTTCTTTCTCTGTTGGACTTAGTTTGTCTGGACCTGCTCTCCTCTTGCTTGCGCTCGTGTATCTACATGTATGTACTGTTCTGTACCTTGTGCCTTAATGTTGCGTACACTATGTGTGTAAGTCCTGTATAGTGTGTATGCATATATATATGCAGAGGTTTTCCTTTCTTTTTTATTTTTTTATTATTATTATTATATATATATGTATTTTTTCTCTTCAGATTTTTTCTGATTGTGTAATACTGGCTGGTTGGTGGGTGGCTAGGCTTGGGGGAGCATTAAGTGTGAGTGATTGTGAGTGTGTGTGTGTTTGTGGTGTGGGTGTCTCTGTGTTTAAATGTTTGGTATTATGTTTTGGATTTACCTTTTATTTTGATTTTGTATTATGATGATTCATTTATGTTTTGTAAGGACAATGAGAAAATGAGATGATGCATCTTAAGGGGCTATCCTTGAAATAAATTACAAATTACAAATTTACACATTAATGCTGTCTCTCACCTCCAGGGCCTTGAGGAAGATGCTGCGCCACCGCGTCTTCATCATGCCAATCGCCCTTTCCACCACACACCGTGCTTTGGCATGATGCCGGTTGTATCGTACATGAACAGGGTTTTGCACCGGCTCCCTGAATGGGGTCATCAAGCTGATTGGTGCAGCCAGGCAGGGATACCCCCATCCCCAACAATACACCAGCCATGAGGGGGGTAGAGTTGGTGTACGTACAGAGAACTCCACCGCAGGACCCTGCATCGTGGACAGAGCCTGGAAGTCCTGTGAACAAGGGTGATGTATTGTGAATATGTCATTGTACTTGACATGGTACAGGACACATTATGTTGAAAATGCCCGTCTCAAACACTTCTGAAATGTGACATCACAAATTCAATTGTGACTATACAACATCTTTTAAAGTAATTACAATGTTTACAATCATGAGATAAGTAGAAATTCACACATGAACATAATGACGTTGCAGTTGTTGGGTGACAAATACAAATCACAGTAAGTGTGAGTCCTGGTCCACATTCACTTTCATTGTATGTGAGATGACTGCAACACCCTTTTCCTGAGAAACTCAAAAAGTTAACCCAACCTTCCAGAGGTATTAATGTCAGTAACTGATGACTGAATTATTTATTAGATCAACAATCCCTTAACACTAGAAAGACCAAGGCAGTCATTTTGACAGTTTTTTAATTTTGCAATGTAATAACTTACTTAAAATAAAACTTATGTAACTACAGGACCATGACTTTTCCTAAATGTGTCTATATTTTATTCTAGCATTGTAATTTTATCAAAAACACAAAACACAAAAGAGTTTTGAGTATTTCTACCTTGAAAGTCCATAGCGGGCATATTGACTGCATGCATTATAGCCAGTGTATCGTTTCAGTATTCGCTACTTTTTCCCGCTCTTGAAGGTAGAGGTGGGCGATATGGGAAAAATATCATATCACAATTTTTTTCATACTGTTCTTTAGACAAATTTATAAGTTACTGACCAGTTCAACCAAACTTATTTACCTGTATGATGTTTTTAGAAGCACAAAAACTGTGCAGACAAGTTTAATGCTGCTCGTCAAAGTTTCTAACATCTGATTGGTTACTCAGCAAAGCAAGTCATGACAGATCGATCCCAGATAATGGATTGAAGCAGTGAATGCACTCCGATACGTTAGGTGACAGTGTTCATCCGTATATTCGTTTCGGTACGCTCTTCATTTGTCGCCGAAAAAATAGTTGCTGATGATACAAGTGAAGACTTTCAGCTCACCATTGGTGCAAAGTGTTAGTGCAGGATGTCCAAAAGCTCTCCGGAGCACAGGTACAGCAGATACCTGTCGCTACACCACGTACACCTGTTCAAGGTAGGTAAGGATAGCCAGATGTGCTTCTAAACGAAGCTAGCTAGTCGGCAGAATGGTGCTAGCATGTCAGCAGCCCTGAAGTTGGACTTTTATCACTTCTTTCTTTTTAGTTGTTGTTTGCTTTCTTTATTACATTTATCAGGACTTAAGGATGTTTTAGCTGAGTGGCGATCATGGGAGCTGTAACATTTTCTCTGTGTTGCAGCCGAAGTAGCAAGGCTGTTTGCTCCATACAACAACAACAACAACAACAACAACAACAACAACAACAACAACAACAATTTGGCTGACAACAAGGCTGATAAAGTTCCAAGCATTCAGCTTAAAGCAGACCTTCTTGCTTCAGGACTTGGAGAACAAAGGTGATCTTTTCAGGTGCGTCTGAAACAAGAACTTTGACAAAGCACTGAGTCCTGACATTAGTAGGAGTTGTATTTTTAATTTCATTTTATCGCCATTTGTGTTCACCTATTTTACATATTAGACTCAAACTTTAATGACGTGATTTTCTTGCTGTGTATTTGTTATCACAGCTTAGCTTTTGGTATTTGAGTTAATGTGCATTATGTATATTTACAGGAAATGACAACGATCCCATGGTTGTAACAAACAAACTGATGGAGGTGTTTCCAAAGCTGCAAGAAGGGGGAGGCTTTGAGTTTCTAAAAATTGCAGGATCTACTCGCAGTCGAAATCTTGGACTTCTTCAATGTCCCAGCACAGGATACACCCTTACCTATCTAAAAGATCCATCTCCAACAATTGGACAGGCTACAATTGACATACGCCCACTTCAACAGGACCTACCCATTGATTCAGTGTGGAAATTTACACTGTCACCATTTGATACATAGTTCAAATAAATTGCACTGTGGAGTTTTAATCAATACTTAACAGATTTGTTGTTCTTAGGAAAGCTCGGGACATGCCTCTGGTCCAGAAGGAGGTTCCCTTCTCTGAAATGAAACTGCACCGAGCTAACTGGGATGGCTATGCACTTGTTAAAGATATATAAGAATTACATATTCATTTTTCAATAAGAAATGTCTTTTTAGTTTTTGTGCACACAGATGAGAGGAAATGTCTATAACATTTTCTGAACTTCAAGGACCCCCATGCAGGAAACACATAGAGAAGGAGAGGGAGACCGTGGTGAGGAGAATGATAGAGAGCCACCCACTGACAGGGACAGCGTTCCAGTGAGGCCTGAAACATCTGTAGAGAGTGAAGTAGAACCAGTAGTGATTGAAAGTGAGAAGATTGATCTTAAAGAACTTGACAATGCTTTGTGTCATCACAGTAGGAATGCTATAATATTGTGCATGATTAGAACTCAGTCAATAGAAGAATAACACCTTTTAACCATAATAAATAACGACTAGAAGACATGCCATTATCACTGCTGTTTTATAGAACCTTAGAAACACTTCCTCATACAGTTCACAGACTCCACATCTAAGTGAAGCTTGGTTGACTTCAAACAGCAAATAAGCATCATTCTGATGAAAGTCAAGTAGAAATGGACTTTCCTAGTATCTATTAAAAGGCTGTTGGATTCTGTCACATTTTTCAGGTGTTCCTCCTTTTCTGTTGATTGGGAGTTTATCTGCATTTAACATGCAAAGTAGTTACATTTATTTTTCTTCTTGTCTAGACTGGAAGATTATTAAAGAACCAACTCTGGCTGCCCAAGTTTTCAAAGATAATCTACTAAGTGAACATGCAACCGGGAAGCCTCTTAAACTGAAAATGGATGTAAGGGAGTGAGGAGGACAGGGAACGGGCACTTCTCTCATTCTATAAACAGCAAAGGAATGGGCATGTCCACTTCATTGTACCCTTGATGGTTAGTAGAATAGAGTTCATAATATAAATATATCCTGTTACATTAATATCAATTCTATGTCTTATATGGAATGGTATTAGTGGTTTACTGGTCCCATCAGGTCATTTGGCTGATATTAATCATTATATGATAATCTGCATTGGCTGTTCATGCTGTCTGCATAACAGTTCATGTGTTTGTCCTTCCTTCCTAAAACTTGTCAAGCACCTATAGCCTTGTTACAGCTTGTTTCTAGTGTGTTATTAACAGTATACAGTATTCTTTAAAAAAAAAAAAAAGTTTTATAGGTGATGCTGCTGTTGGACAGGGAGTGATGCGGTACTTTCTGACAACAATAATATCCAAACTCCAGTTTGGATTCAGAATGAATCTTGGTAAATGTGCTACTATTCAGGTTAATGTCATGCATTTTAAAAGTTAATTGTTTGATTTGAAGCCCTGCTCTGTTGGTACTTACAGGAGGAGTGGGCCAAACTCTGCTATTTGAAGGTGAGCCTGACCATCTCGTTCCAGCTGCATCAGAGGTGCTTATTGAGAGCAACCTCTTCCGGGTTGCAGGAAGGATGATAGCCCACTCCTTTTTGCATGATGGCCCCCATGTCACCGGATTAAGTCCTGCTGTTATTCATGTACTGTTCAATGGGGACCCTGAAATGGCAACAATTGTTGTCGAGGACTGTCCTGATCTGCACATCAGGAGTATTATAACAATGGTATGTAACACACAAACAAAAAAACCTTTGCCTTGCAAAATTCCTGGACAGGTGTAATACCTTTTATGATCCAAACTGTAGCTTGAACTTGAAGAACTTACTCAGGAACAGAAGGACACAGTGTCAGATCTTTCCCTGTCTTGGGATCTCCCAGCAGTCACTAAAACGAATCAGAGGTGGCTACATAACAAACTTCTAGTACACGCGGTGAGTTTCTCCTGCTGATTTGGTGAATTCTCCTTCTGAAATTGAACTCATCCCCCATTTATCCATCAATTATGTTTCAAGCTAAGCAATTCTATCACGTCTGCATTTCTTTTGCACATCTGTATTTCAATCACAAACTAATTGGAACTGCAGGCAGGATTATTACAGAACCTAAACACTCTTTAACTTGTAATCTAGGCAGGGAGTGGTTGGTGTTGCAATATGAAAGGATATAATGGGAAAAATACATCTTAACCCTGTAAAGCCTGACACATGAAAAAATAACCAGAAAATTCTATTCTTTGGAGTTGAGATGTTTATTAAACCCTTAAACAAAATCCACCAAAATGTTTTTCTCATATCATGTTGTTTATGATATTTGTTCTTGTAGCACATTTGATACATCGGGCGTTTTTGGCAATTTTTTGCACACATTTCAGGAAGCTTTTCTCGTTGTTTTTTTTAACATAACACTTTTTACAGCCTTTTTATTTCATTTTGTGGTAGGCACAAAAACAGTTTCTGTCCTTGTTCAGGCAAAGATGCACCTTACACTTTTCACAGTAGACATGTGAGAAGTGATTGCCAGTGCAGTGCTTGCATCTCTGTCGGGTTTCCCATGTTGGAAAATGATCAATGCCATCCCTTCTCACATCAAGAGGCACACTGCAGCTTGGTCTTTTACGGGGTGGTGTTGGAGTTTCTTCTGGAGAGGATAGTGGTCTGCCACACCTGATTTTGGCCTTTCCTGCCAACCAAAGCCTGAAACCTTCACAGAGGCACGGGTTTCTTCTTGGGGTTTAGCTTCTTCTGGTCTCTTCTGTAGAGGTTCCACGCATTGATGACTGCCACTGTAACAGTGTGCCACCAGATGTACATGTACCATCTTCGGGATCTGAAGCTGAACTTGTAAAGTGCAGACAGCATATCAAGGAGATCAACACCTCCCATGAACTTGTTATATGTTTCAACAATGGCTGGTCTGGGAACCGTTATGTGAGTTTTGGATTTGCGATCCCAGCGTTTCACATTTCCCACAGGTTCAGTGCCAACAAAAGAGGAAATCAGGTTCACTGCTTTGTTGTCGTACCATCTTACAACGATGTTGTTTTCCTGGTTCACTCTGAAGTCCATTGACCCTCTTCCATTTGTCTTCAATTGTTTTTCATCCATCATGGTGCAGTGTTTCATCCTGTTCATCCGGATCGTGCCAACGTAGTGGATTCCTCTTTCTTTTAGGTGTTGCACCAGGGGAACTGATGTGAAGTAGTTGTCTGCAAAGACCTTGTGATTTTTTCCTGCTGGAAGTGTTGATGTCATTTTCAGCACAACTTCTCCTGTAACACCTACTTCAGACTTTTCTCTGTCTGGATTTTCTGCACCTTGAACAAATATCAAAGTCATAAAGAAAGCCACTTTGTCCAGCACGTCCCCACATTTTGAAACCCCATTTGTGAGTTTTGCAGGCATGTAGACACGTAGATGAGATTTTCCCTTAAATGGCACCATGATTTCATCAACTGCATGGCTTTCTTCAGGAGGTATGTAGAGAAACTGTTCTCGCCAGTTTTGTAACCATGGCCTGAGCTTCCACAGTTTATTTTCTTTCTTGCATCATCAGACACACTGAGGTTGTCCTGAAAGTGAATCACTGTCAGCAATTCAGAAACCGATCTCGAGACATCACATGACAAACTGCAGGAGCCTTGTCTCCATCTCCCAATAGGCTCTCACAGAGGACATCTGTACTAACCCCATATGAATGTACATGCCTAGAACCTGCTCTATTTCCTTGGCAGTTGTGTTTACTGACTTGCCCTCTTTTTGGACACTGTACAGGTTTGTTTGTTCTGCAGTTTCCTCTAGCATTTCATCAGTGACAAACTGTTTGAAATACATGTATGGTGTCCAGTCACACCTGTCTTCTGTGCCTTCCTCAACACTTGCAATGAAATTGATAGATGGAGCTTGATCATTTATTTTTCTCCATCTGTATTCTTTCCTTTGTGCATTGGCCTTCACTGACTCCTTTCTGACGTGTCCTGTGTTGTTGTTGGGATCTCAACGTCTGTGCTTGTCTGGGCTACACTTTCCTCTTGATAGTCTTCCTCATCACTGCTATCTGAACTTCCATCATCATGCATGGCCTGAGGAGTCCATTCTTCCTCATCCTCCTCATCATCTTCCCCTAACTGCTCTATGTCACTTGAATTGCCATCCATTATCATGTTGATGACATTTTCAATGTACGTTTGTTTTCTCACTTCTTCCTCTATTCTTTTTGACATCTAAAAATACACACATAACAAATTGGTCAATATAGCGTAGCGATTATGATTTCAGAGGAATTGTTATTGTGAAAATACCCAAAATGTATTTTAAAATGGCATTTCAGTCATTAATTAGATTTATTAAATCATTAAAATAGTGTGTGTTTGTATATTGGTAGGCATGATGTAGATTACATTACAAAAATTTAGAATGACCGTTCAAGGATAAAGCACCTTATATACCTGCAGTATCAAATGTGATACACACATTTTTAACACGATTTAACTGTAATATGAAGAATGAATTATTAAGTAATGATGCATTGTTTTAATACAGAATATACTCCTATTAAAGAATGAGTAACAATATAAATGTTATTCTTACTGTAACTTCTTGAAAATTAGCAAATATGATACAAATGGTTTTATAGGGTTGTTAAGCACTGCATTAGAGTTTTATAAACACTTTCTACTGTGCTGACTTTTGTAGAATTTTAATATTTGGTCAGTAATATGGGTTTGGCCTTTCTTGTAGGTCATCGGGAGGACCATGCACCAAATTAAACAGTTGAGAAAGGGATTGAAAGATGTGATGCTATGGCCCCTGCTGACATCAAGGCCAGATGTTGTCCCACTTCTTTTTCTGAAAATGGCAGGAATGCAGTTTGTACCCCAGGTGATTTAGTACATCCAACTTATTAACAATACTTAAAATATTAATAAATGTGTGTGCAAATCTTATTGTCTAATTTACTGAGCTGGATATTTTCTCAATTACCAAGACTGTAATCTATATTCCTTTTCATCAGTGCTGAATTATAAATTATCCTAGACACCAAAATACTTTTCAAACTTTTTTTTATTCAGATGTTCCTAGACAAAATCACATGGCCTGTGGAGGACAGTGATGATGAAGAACTTGACATTGAGTGCAAGTGCCGCATCACTGGTTTTCTACGGATGTTCATTGAAACAGGTATAGCTATCTTATTTTGCAATTTATTTTCATGTTTACCAATGTCTCTATGTCCCATAAACATCTCACTTAACACTGTAGAATATATGAAATGCATAGGGATTTGAACAGTTACAGTGCACTGTGTTCTTAATCCACTTTATGACCTTTTAGCTTCATCAGATACTCTGGCTCAGTTGCTGAAGTTCTGGGTCGGCTGGGAAATGCTCCCTCCAGAACTCAAAGTGGAGTTTTCCGGGGGAACCTTCCCATCATCCTCCACATGCTTTGAAACACTGAAGCTGCCAGCTCATTACAACACCTACAAAGACTTTGAGGAAGCACTTGTTGCTGCCATAGACAGTGCACACACTGGATTTGCTCTTGTTTAAGTATTTTCAGGCAATGATGTTGCTGTGCTTTTATTCAGTAGAAAAAGGTCAATTTGAGTGAAGTGAGTTCAGTGTTTTTCTAACATTTCAAATACAGTGCAGTATTTTCTTTCCCTGAAAATGACACTGCTTTGTTGTTGCTCTTCTGTCAACTGTTTGATACTTCAGTGTGCATCACCTTGCTGTCCTTGCCTGTTGTCATTGGCTACATGAGGTTGTTGAAATATCTCTTGATGCTAGAAAAATTGGTTTTATTTGCATTAAAACAGCATATTATTATTTCAGATTTTTATTGACAAATCAAGTTAACTAATTCATGAGTGACATTTGCACAATAAATAAAATAAAAGGCCTGCTTAAGATATCAGTCTCCAATGATTCTTGACAAAACTTGCACTGTCTCCAAATATGATCCAATTGCATCATTTAAAGAAACTCCTGAAACTGGCAAAATGGCAACCTCTTCATCTGAGAGCTCACGGGCCATCTGAATCTCAGGAACTGACACAGTGTCTCCATGCTGATTGTGAGGCCCATTCCAGTCGATCCCATAGTCTTCATAAACCTGAACAGAGGATAACCTTGATTGACATATTGTTTAAACTACTATGACATGTCATCACACAAGATTCATGAGATTGATCATTGGTCCTTATGTTGGTGACAAATTAAGTTTTAGGCACTTTGCTGCTCAGATGTTGTTCTGTCAGAGCTCAGGAGACAGAAGAGATTCTCATGTTTCATTCAAAAACAAGAACAAAGTGATAACAGAAACCCTTTTATTAAAATATAGTGGGTCCAATTATCATCTGTCTGAAATGTTTCTTCTAAGAAATTTGAGGAAAAATAAATCTGCTAAACATCAGTGACAAACACCTGTATCTCCTGACCAACAAAATATGAATATATTTTCAAAAGGTTTCAATAATAGTGTAAAACTACTATCTTTTTTTTAACCTCTGCAGGATCCTCCATGGGGCCTTGCTCTCTGTATCTTCTCCAGAGTTCATTAGGTGATTGATTCCTTTCAGTTCTAAGTCCATGAAAGTTCCAAGCATCTCTGAAGGAGCTGAGGGTTCTCTGAATTTGGGAAGGAAGATCCGGTGCAGGGCATAAAGATGGACTTGGTTGTCTGGATTGAGTGTTCCCTGATCTTCCAATGAAGTGAAGATCTGATAGAAGAGGTCTAGGGCATGCTCATAAACATCTCTCCACATCCTCTCTATTCTGCAATTAGAATGCAATTGACAAATTGTTAATTAATATATAATCTCAAGCTTTAAAATACATTGAGCTGCTATGGTTTGTACAAGCAGTGGTGGACAGTAACGGAGTACATTTACTTGAGTATTTGTTTTTTTGGAAACTTGTGACTTTCACTCCACTACAAGATAAATATTGTGCTTTCGACTCCACTACATTTCTAGGAAGCTCGTCGTTACTGGTTCCTTTTAGGCTCAGCATAGCTTTGTAGTCAGCTGTTGGTGTTTTTCTTTTCTAAAATGCAATTGGCCTCACGCTGTGCTCCTCATAGAAGGGAACCAATCACAGTCACCGCTCACACATGGGATGGATTTGGAAATACGTCATCAACGCTCAGTGTAGCAAGCTCTCCCGCCTTCATTCAAACAAAACTCGGCAATGGAGATGGCAGGAGAAGCTGAGGAAAGAGACTAAATGTGCACCATCTTTTAGGGATTTCCATCACTTTCCACAGACATGGAAAAATGCAGGTTACAGATTTTATTAAGGCAAGGGTTATGTTGCCATGTAGCCAAGTGGTTCAACTGGATGATGAGTTCATGAAAGCAGAGTTGCAGTTTGTTCGCAGTAATGGACTGAACAGTAAACTTGCAACTCCCCCACAGTGAATGTACGGGGAGAAAAAAAAGGCCCTCCTGTTTTTTTTGGGTGGGGATGTTTAAATAAAAAAATTAAATGACAATAGCTGTCCTTATTGTTTTTGATTGCATTTTTACGCTGAAGTTTTTACAGGTGTTTCTATAGACTTGTAAGTCAATACATCATTAGGTGGTTTCAGAGAGTTACAAGGTTCTGTGTAAGCACTGAGAAAACAATACAGCAATGCACTGATATTAGAAAATGTACTTTGTACTTTTGAATACTCAAGTATTTTTAAAAGTAAGTACTTTAGTACTTTAACTTGACTAAAATCTTGACCGAGCAACTTTTACTTGTAGTTGAGTAAGATTTGACCACGAGTATCAATACTTTGACTCAAGTACTGGAGTTGAGTACTTTGTCCACCACTGTGTACAAGTAGTCACCAAACAGATATATTTGACCTACCGCTGATTGTGTACACTTCTGCCTGTGATGTGAGAGTTCCTGTTGGTACCTCTGCTCCTGATCATGAATTCTGCTACGTCTGAATTCTCTCTTCCTTTATCAGACCGTACCCTTGACGGCAGCCCGTACTGCTGAACGGCATTGATAAAGCTCTGTAGGACAGTGCTAGCCCTGTTATTGCCAGCCACATTCAGGTAGACCACCAGTCGACTGAATCCGTCCACCCCACCATGGACAACAAATCTCCACCTGTCAGACAGTTTTGAACACAAAAAAGCTTTAATGTGATCATTTCTTTGGACATCTATAGAAAGTTGCATTGTTTATCAACTAATATCACTGATACCTTATAAGCTTGTGGTGACCATCTATGTGCCATAAAGAGTTTGGGCCAGGAACAGAATACTGCCGTCGTCTTGTTACATGCAGCCGTAGACGTCTCATGTACACTCCCTCAGCATCCACTCTGTGCAAAGACTCTCAGTCTTGAGACTTTAGAGCAGAAAATAATCATACACTCATTTGCTATTTATTTAAAAAAACACTTAAA